ATAGACTTCAAAGGACACTGCTACGGGTCCATTTTTAACAAGTTCTGCTCTCATTAGTGCCTCATTACATGCACCGTAGAAACCACCGACATAATGATACCCAGTCCCAAACTGCCGCTGACACTTCTTTTCCTGACAAGGCATGTCTCTGCCTTCATATGGGAAACATGATTCATCCACCAGTCCAAAGTCTTCAGCGTATTTACTAATTAGGTATGGAAATCCTGGAAACGTCAGAAAAAATTAGTATTCACCCCTACCTACTCTACCCCGCTGGTTAATCATACTGGTTTTTAGACTATCAATATCATTATCATTATTCATTCAAAATATTTCTCCGTTTCTGATTGGCTAAACCTCTCGCATAATTCATCCTAACTACCTACTGTCGACCAAATTTGGAAGAATTTTTCTATATGTGAAAAATGACGTCCATATAGCGTGCCGCAAAATCGCCAGATTATTGAACCGTTGACCGAGGGGACAGGGAGACGAGGTTGAGTTGTTTTGGTAGTGACTACAAAATGACGGAATATTTCACCCGTTTCACGAGGAAGAAATAGGCCAGCTGTTGGCTAAAAACATAACAAGAACAGCAAGAAAACAACTCGACGGACGACATCTGCTATTTGGAGAATATTTGCAGACCTGAACAACCCATTATCTCCTAAAGTTGCTGATAAACATGCACTATCGGAGATGAACTTAACATCGATAGAGGTAAGCATGTTTTACCTTGTTTTTAAACTACGAATTGTTTTGAATGAATAAAAAAACAATTTTTGAATTCGGCTTTCGTATCCTCTGAAGAATTATGGAGATCGAGGAGGGTGTTATCCGATAATTCTTCAGATGATACTCAGCCTCATTCAATAATAATTGTTAATTATTTAATTTAATTTTCGAGTCAAAGCATAAACTTGAGCTAGCCTGAATTTCATCCGATTACTTCGAGTCGTTATTACTCCCTTCGAAACGTCTGAATCTACCGGCCGTTAATGGCGTCCAGTGACGTCACTACTCCTTTGCTCGATTTTCAAGTAGCAAACCAAGAAATATCGTTTGGAAATGTCTACATGATACTGAACAGCTAACAGAATTGCTTTACTCTTTTCGATCGTAGTTCATGTTTAACGTTCAAACTATCAAGCTCGCAGTATTCTGAACCGGTTGTAATTCAAACTCGTTCGCAATGACGCTATGAAATAAATACACACAAGAAACACTTGGTTCAAAAACACAACAATTTCCTCCAACCTCCTTTCCGAAAATCTGCAATGAAATTATGCATCATTCAATGTTACTCTTAGCAGGAGCCCGTCAAAACCTTATGATCACGGAATTTCGCGTGACATCTTTTTACGCTCTCGATAACTGCCGCCAAAACTATTGTCAAACTCATGAAGCAAAACCCGTCAATTCCAATTATTTTCGACAGATTTACCTTCAAATTTCTGAAAAACCACCCGGCTTCTAGGTAAGATAAAAAATACCGTAAGCTTAAGATTTATAAGCTTATCTTTTCCGAGCAAAAACTAGTCCTCTGAGAGGAAATATCCTGGCAATGATCGGTACCTATGATCCGGAGGAAACACATTCACGCCGTGTGCTGCGAGAACAATTATTTTCCAAAGGGAAAATTTAAATTATTTAAACGTTTGTTTCCCTCATTATACCTTGTTTTTTTCAATACGTTTGATTTCTATTGCCGATTTGTTTGCCGCGCGTCTCTGTGGGATGTATTCAATGAGGATAAATGCTGTGTCGTGACACATCGCGCGGCAGACATTCTAGTCGCGTTGCTTGGCTTGTTTGCGTGCGCACGTATTGCGTGCCTATTGCAACTTTGAATCAAAACAAGCGATTCCGATTACTCTATTTGGGCGACGCCAAAATAATAAGTAGGTTTGGCGGAAAATGTACAATAAACATTTCGAGCATGTCCAAACGTTTTCCAAATGTTCTTAGAAGAACTTAAATAAAATAAAATGCAGAAACTGAGCAAATCTGGGTAAAAATAAAATTAACTGCACTGAATGTAAATTTCCTATTACCCAGCTCTCCATTAACGTCACTGTAACAATTAAATACCTCCTTCACAGCCCTGGGAATATTCTGAACAGCTGACAATATCTTGAGTAGAGAACACGGGAGTTTTAGTACCATTTGACAAAATACGAACGCGAGCTTCAAACATGCCCAAGGTACCAAAAGCATAGCAGCTTCCACAACCGCCCTGATTTCTAACTGGACTGACATAATCACGACCTCCAACATTTCTCCAATCAAATTCCTCTGGAAGAGCCTTTAACTCAGCAAGATGTTCCTCTGTCAGTTTGCTGAAAATACATTTACATAAATGTTTTTATAGCAACCACAATTGATCTACTATTTCAATTCAGTCAAGATCTCTATGCTAAGAAAACCTAACCCTAACCAAACCCATAATTATCAGTAAAAACAAACAAAAATTAATCCAACTAAAAATTCCCTCATCTAACTTGAATACAGTTGAACCTCAGCAGCCACCCTCAGGGTTAAACTTGCAAGTGGCCGCTTAAAAGAGGTTTGCCATAAGCCAGCATTTTTTAAATCTTAAGCACTTTATTTTGAAACAAAAGCATGACAGAAGAGGCATTACAGGTCAACAATCGGTTGTCACCTTCTATCTCGGACTGTATTTTCATTCATCATATTCTTAAAATGAAGCTAAACTAAGTGGATATAGAGGATATTACATGGCCGTGCGGAGATACGAAATTTCTCTTTGAGTGTTGAAAAATATCTCCAAGCAGCCATGTAATGTTCTATCTATTACAACCCTCAAAGTTAAAATTTTTGTTCAGTGGCCATTTGGCGATCAGCTCTTTGGGTTTAGTCGCCAGGGGAAATTTTTAGGGGCCAAATTATATTAATAAATTAATATATCAAAATTGTCCTTAACAAAAGCAGTTAGCAAGTTTAACTTAAAATGCAGCACTGTCTATAATATACTCGTTTATTGTGCAAGGCATTAGTTACTGATAGTCTGAGAATAAGGTTTGCAGATTCATCTCCTTGAATCAATACTGAAACGGAATTGTAAAGACAATTACCATTTGCAGTTGTCTTTAGGGCCTTCAATCCTTCTGTATAATCCCCAGTTCGTATATGAGAGCAGAACTTAACTCATCCTCTGTTAATGTGTTCAAAATTTCCCAGTCGCAACTTGATCGGGTGATAGGCGACCTATTTTTTTTTTTTCTGATATTTGCTTCGCATATCTTTTGCGACTTTTGTTGATGATGAACTTGTTACCCCAACTAACAAATATTTTTGGAGATTTAAAAGGGCGTTTTTAATATCGCTAGACATTGCGAAAGCCTGACAAAGTCAGGAGAGTATAGGAAGATCGACAAGTTTTCTAAATCAAATCATTAGTTTATAGAGATAACGTCGCGCACGTGAAAATATTTCGCAACGAGTTGTACTGCGAAAAAATGATTTTCCCCATCAATTGAAAGGAAGCCAAACAAAAAAGCCGCTTACGAAATAATAAATTTTCTTTTTCCTTTATCATCGCTACAGGTGTTTAAAAAAAAACATTTTTTGCAACAACCATAAGCTGTCAGTTTTGCGATGTTTAGTTTCGCTTACAATTATCGCTTTTGTTTACAAAACCGCGATTCAACTCGCCGCACGGTTCATTTTCAAAAACGCTTAGCTCTGGGACTTTTTTAAGTTTTTCAGTTTATTATATAGAATGTTTTTCAACGGAAAAGTAAAAAAATAATGGAATTCAAATCAGCTAGAATAAATGTTCTTCATATTTCAGTAGAAGTGATTACCATTTCTGTTTCTATACGCCACAACACGAACCTATTCTTCACGGTCGCCAGCTTGGCGACTATTCTCCAAATCAAGTCGCCAGTTCCAAAATTTTAGGCGCCATGGCGACTAAAATGGTCGCAACTTGGAGGGTTGATCTATTATATAAACACCAATGAACTACCAAACCATTTCACTTTAATAGTTTTTTGGTGTGAAAGGCGCAATTTATTATTTAGTTGTAGCAATGGTAATATTGTCACATGTCAAGATAACATGATATTTTCACATGTGAAGATATCAAGTTTTCGCGCAAAAGCTCACTTGGTATTTCATTGGTGTTTATATAATAAATCAGCGTATCAAATCCTTGATGGCTGCTAAACTGACGTGACAACAATGGATGAACACTCATTGCAGGGATAGGCAGCCAAAAGGAGGCCAAGGTCACTTAATCGAGGTGGTCCCTTAAAAGACTGTTTTAATTCCTCATTCTTTTCTACAATTATTTTAGAACTTTTATTACTGGCCACTTAATGGAGGTTTGACTGTAATATAATGGCATAAAATATGATAATTTATTATAGCTCAAGAGAATATTGAACAGGCAAAATGACAATGTCAAAAGAAAACAACTCCAAGAAAAAAAATACCTGGCTCAGGCACCCTTACTAACCTGTGCCACAGGAGGAATTAAACTTCTGGTGAAGTCTGTCTGTGAAACAGTGTCAAAATCCTCGTTCTGCCCACCCCAACTGAGTAAAGGATTTGAGTACTCACCATGATTGGCCAGTTAAAAAGCCATTGTTGTTTTGTCAATCAGGTTGATGGGTAATTCAAAATGGCTTTTTCCAGTAATTTGTTGAGTCCATCAGGGGCTTTGAAAAATGATATCAGCACTGCTTTGCAAACTTTATTAACCGGGGTTACCTGTGTCTGCAGCACTGTTAGCAAGGCTGTGCTCTAAGGAAAATTGAAGGGAGCCCAGTGCTCTGAACCTGTAAAATCTAGGGTGCCCAGCACATGATTTGTATGGAAAAAATAAGATTTTCTAGTCGCCCAAGAGCAAAACTTAGGTGCCAGGGGCCACCAGGCTCTGTTAGAGCACAGCCTTGCACAGGCTACCTTTTTACAGAACTGCAAACAACTATTGCTCAACAGACAATGTCTGCAAGCAATTGGCCAATGTCCAGATAAAGTTAATACCATTAAGACCAGGGTATATTAATTAAATAAAACAATGTGATGGCTATATCAACTCCTATCTAGTTAATGTATTGTAATTAGATACTTAGGATCACTGATATTATTGTAGCAGAACAGACCTTGACTTGGGAAAATCGAATTTCTTAGGTCCACCAGCACGGCGCATTAACTGTTCCACAGTCATCCCATTATATTCCTCATACACTCCAGCTTTCCATGAACTCTGAACACTGTTTATTTGCTCAACAAACTCATGGTTTGGAATAAATTTTCTATTTCTTAGTGAAGAGAAGGGTTTCACATCTTGTTTTTTAGGTAGTGGAATGCCTGAAATCTTTTTCCCTAAAGAAAAAAAAACGTACATTTCTATGAAAGGAAAGTAACATTAATAACATAAACTGCTCCTTGTAAGGCCTGGGTCTCTCCATCTTCAGTCATAAGAAATTTTAGAATGGCTTGTAAACACAGGGGATTACATCAAAGGGTGCTTACAATCAGAAGACAAAAAGCTATCCTAAACAAGTGCCAATCAATACAAAAAGTTTGCATTTGATGGGCAGTACTTTTGATCAGTTGAAAAAAAATTTCAACCAATTTCATTCAAACGCTTATAATCAGGGGCGTAGCAACCATCAAATCAATCAATCAATCAATAAACCTTATTTACCCTCCAATTTACAGTGTAGCACTCAAGAGCTAATATCTTCGAGCCAAAATACGCATATATACCATATACACACTTACACACATGCATACCTCAAAAATTTAAAAATATATTTTTTTTCTTATTTTATTTATCTCTTTATTTGACTACCGGTAATTTATTTATTTATTTACAGATTTTTTGGTGAAAAGCGACCTTTACACATGCAAGAGTTTTCCTTGTATTGCTGCTATTTTACGGAAAGAAAACTTTGTGAATATTGTAATATTCATTTTTTGAAAAATAAATAAATAAAATTAAGTACTGTGGAACCTCGATACAACGAAGGGCCAAGGGAATGGCAAAATGTGTTTGTTACAACCAGGTTCGTTAACTTATTTGAGGCTCTTTGTCATATTGCTTTATATTTTACTATTACTCAGGAGTTAAAAAAAATAGTTCATAAGACCAAAGACTTTAATAATATAGTATATGTAATATACATTTTCATATAAATGGTATCTTTGTTGGAATAAGATTCTTCCAGCATCTAAATTAATTATTGGTCCATTTCGATCCCATAAGTCTGGTGCATAAGCCTCAACATGCCTATCTTTATAAAACTGCACTTAGTCCTAGATTTCTGCATCTTCAAACCAACAAGGCTATGTAGCATTTGCAACGATGCAGAATAGAGTCTTTTTTATGAAGGTTCTCAATTAAATCTGAGGATTACTCCACGAACTACAGTTTCTTAAAACTGAGGAATTATATCGGCTGATGATGTGGTGTCCCACGCATTCCGATGACATAATAGACAAAATGAAGGGGTTACAGGAACTATATACAGTGTAATATCATGATCTACAAACTTCTACTGGAGGATCCTACACATAGGCGTACGGGAAATTTTTTGCCAGGGGGGGCGGTAAACTATTTGCCCAAAAAATTCTCGCAAGTTGCCCAAATTTTTACGAACCGTACAGTCGACACGAAATGAGGGCCATACGATGCAACAACATAGGCCATACTGACATATGAAGGTGGCTCGATACTGTAACAGTTTTTCAGGGTCAATACGTCTAAATTCTGAGCATAACTACGTCGCCATAGTCAAACATTTGGAGAAATTCGCACCACAATTTTATTAGATAAAGATGAAAATTTGTCATGATCACGAATGCAATGACATCAGAGTTGTCATAGCAACGAAATGATGCCATTATATATTTTACTTGCAGCAATATTTTTCGGTACTGGGAACTGTTCTTACAAAATCGTTCACGGAAGCTTTTTCCTCAAATAGTCGCCTCAATGTTTGTGAAGTTAAAACAGAAACTGGGAGAGAGTGTTATTGGGATATTTTCGCGTTAAAAATATGGTAAAATGGAAAATTTTGATGTTTGGCCGTTATCGAACTGAGAACTAGTCAGCCACTTCTTCATTTTCAGACCGATTGCCAATGCTATCTGCCATACACTGTTCTACGAGCGGAAGATTATTCTAATCAATACACGACTGGAAAGAGCCCATTCAAGTTAGTGCAGTGCAGTACAGTGCTCAACAAAAAAAAACTATGAAAATATGTAAATCAACATATGATACCCTTCCCTGATAAACATAAACTCATCACGTGCTAGGCAACCAATGTCTCAAGAAAATGTAACTGGATTATTACGCCGACTTCAGGATTTTTTTCAGATTAAAATTGAAAATATTTATCTCTTCAAAATAATAAAAAAACATGGAAACGTCTTTAAAACCTGGCTTTGCCCAAATTTTCTCTTGCTGCCCAAAAAATCTGAGTTGCCCAAAATTTGGGGGGCTGCAGACCCCCTCGCCCCCGGGCCCGTACGCCTATGATCCTGCATGTGCAATCAGGCTCAGCAGGAGAAAGGCCGCAGGTTGAAATTTATAAACATGACTCTGCTCAACAATGACTCAAGAAAGGTTCAGTAATCTGATAGTTCTAAACAGCCACAAAGAGAGAACAGCAAATTTGCACCTCACCCCGCACTTCAAAAGAGGTGGTCATCGGCCCCCGCATTCTAAAAACTACTACGCGGGCACTGTTTTAAAAGCAGTGCGAGGTTTCAATGTGTAATTTTATTTTTAATAAGTTAAGTGAAGTTAACAAAGTTGAACCGATTAAAATACGCACCCTTGTAGCAAGCCCAGTTTCCGGGTTTGTATTTCGCCACATCATGACTCCATCCATTCAAAGTCTGGTCGCATAAACTAGTCACGACTGAGCCACTTTGTTTGTAGGCAGAAAATGCGAAATATTTCTTGTCATTTATCACTACCTCAAATCCTTGGTTATAGATCATGGTCCAGAAACCCAGGTTACCATTTTCATCCATTGCAATGTCAGGAAACAGCAGATCAACTCGGAGTTCTGAAACCACTGAGAATTCCTTGGAGCAATCGATCGTATTGTCATGTCCACCTTGTCCCACTGTAAACAGCCATGGTCCACGGATCTCTTCGTACGTACAGTTAGCTGGAGTATCTGCACTNTTTGTAGGCAGAAAATGCGAAATATTTCTTGTCATTTATCACTACCTCAAATCCTTGGTTATAGATCATGGTCCAGAAACCCAGGTTACCATTTTCATCCATTGCAATGTCAGGAAACAGCAGATCAACTCGGAGTTCTGAAACCACTGAGAATTCCTTGGAGCAATCGATCGTATTGTCATGTCCACCTTGTCCCACTGTAAACAGCCATGGTCCACGGATCTCTTCGTACGTACAGTTAGCTGGAGTATCTGCACTTATTTTAGTGAAAAAGGAAAACAAAACCAGGAGTACACCACTAAGCAACGAAAACGCCATCATTTCTCCTCTCCTCAGCACCAAATCAATGTAATGCGAGAGCTAGCGATTGCACGTGATCGGCGCGGTGACGTGTGTGTAACTTTATCGTGCACAAAATGCCCCTGTCTGCTCCTGTAGGTTTAGAGGAAGATACCGTAAAATTCCGAAAATAAGCCCCGGGGTTTTTGGTTTTGCCGTGACAGTTGTGGGCCACCATAAAAATGTTAACGAATTGCAGGTTAAAAATTAGGGCAGTCTGCCACTCCGAGATCGAAAACCGATCTTCTTATTTTTCTCACAAATAAAAAGCTTTTGGCAGGAACAATCTACTTTAGGTTTCTTAGCTACCTAAAAGCTATCTATGAACAAAAAATGGAAGAAATTGATTTTTCAACTCTTGCCACCAAATTAAGATTTTGGTCGATTTTTCCAGACCGTCGCTCTTTTAATCAGAACGCGTGTACTATTTTAGTTGTTTTATAAAGTCCTATATAAAATGCCAAAACTGAATCATTATTAACTTTGGAATTCAATACATGCAAAATAAATAGCAAATAGCTTAGTGTGGCAAATAGCCAGCCTAGTCCCTAGTTGTTCTCCGTGTGGTCAATCCTGGACTCTACTGTGAGCTGTGACGGCACCGAGAGAGACTCGCCGAGAACTAACTTTCCAAGACTTCGCGCGGACAACAGGTCAAGAGAGAACACCTATGGGACTAGGCTGACAAATAGCGTGACATTGCCCCTTTAAGAAGCGGTTGTGACAATGTAACATCCACCCACGAAAGGTTTTTTGTCCAGCTGTTTTCTTGAAAACAAGGGTTTGTGGAGAATGCTCAGTCTCGTGTGCTCACAAAACATGTTATTTTGTATTTGCCCTTTAAGATGCAATTTTATGACCTAATATTGCACTCCAGTGACTTCAATGGCATTATGACATAAACATGGAGGTGCCTTCCCGGAGATGTTAGCCATATAGGTACTCAGTGCTGCCCCAAAGCGTAGGTCTCTGCGCCATTTCGATCTGAAAACGGGTGTGGACTTCGCCCATTTTTGTCTGGAATCGGGTACGGAATCGAGGGAACTACGAGAGTGTACGACGTCTGATTTGTCGTTTCAGTTCCAAATGAATAAGAAAGACAGAATAATATACGAATTCGAAGTGGATTGTAAGCAATCTTTTATATGGCGTTCTAATCTAAGTAAAGATAAGATAATTTCTTTAAAACGGGTGTGAAAAATGTCACTTTTTGGTCTAAAATATGGTCAGGATTTGGAGAACCGGGCGACACACCCTTACCAAGAATTCCCACGAGTACCCCTTGGGCTTTAAAGAAACTGTATCGCGAAATTCATCAAAATTCAAACTGTGAGACCCGCCAACAAATTGGGTAAAACTTAGAAATAAACCATTGATAGGATGTGATAAACACTGCAAATACAAAAGGCACGGATGGACAAACTTGATGAACCTTGATTAAATGACGGCAAACTTCATTACATTCCATCATGCAATTATGGAACGATCTTCCCCTTTTTATTAAAAATATACCTTCAGATAATGCTTTCAAAAAGCCTCTTAAAATTCATTTGTTTCAGAAGATGTTTCCCAGCTAATTTATTATATTTATTCTTTTTTATAAAGAAGGATTTGTAAATAGGACTTTAAGGAGGACTTTTCAGTAGAAAAATGCCCTCCTTACATACTGTGAAAACAAACGAACAATTTGTAATGAGAAAGTGTAAGAACAAATTCTTGACAAAAGATACAAAGAAAATAGCAATTACTTGCTGTCGTGAAACGAAGGAAACTTTTCATTTGCTCGCTAACGTTAACTTCCTTAGGGAATAAAGACGCGTCACTGAAAATATTAAAGACCCAATGAACTAGACAGGCATGATACAACCCCTTTAATTGCAAGGGAAAATACTGAAATTAAAGAAGTTTCAAAATGTTAACAATGTGCGTGGCGCTTACTCTTTTCCGGAAAAGCAAAACGAAAACTAGCCCCTGCCGTCATATAATCAACAAGTGCCAGATCATAAGAAGTCAGCATCTTCTGTTCGATCAAGGTTCCGCTACTGTCGTCACATTCTTTCTCGTATGGAACCATATTAAGCCTGTTGTCAAAAGCTAAAGGAAAAGTACAGAAGTCACGAGGATAGTGCATATAAAACCATTCTTTTATTGCGGTACAATCCGACACACCAGTATTTTACAAATAAAACAGAGTCCTTTGAAGTAGAGACACTCTACCATGTGAAATACCACCATATTGACTATAAGAATGACCTACGATACTGTGCCAAATCTGAAAATTTAGCCACATCTCAAGTCGACCTGACCATCCAAAATAAATTCACGTCAAGAAGATTTAATAATATTTGGCAGCTGGATTAAGTGGCCCATATTAAAAACACTCTAGTTAATCTAAAGTATTAAATGCGAGAGAAGGGCGTGG